CATGATGGATAAATAGAGCCTTTTTTTTTTTTCAGCCCACTGGTTGAAAGAAAAAAAAATGACTCATCTATGGACTGACTATGAAAGTGACTATGAAAGTGCCACTACAACAGCAAAGTAGGAAGCAGGTCCTGTATATGGAATAAGCAAATCTGGCTGTGCGTAGGGCAATTAATCTGATGGAATCTAAAAGGATCAGGTGAGACAACATCTTCTAGGAATTTTCTTGTTTATGTAATAAATAGTAAACAACAATGCAGTTGTTATACCAAAGTAGGAAATTGGACAGTAGGGCGCTTTTACACTTCTATAACAATATATTGATATTATGCAGAACTTACAGGTAGCAGTATGCACAAGCATTTCTCCACTAATCAGACACCCTTAAGGGGAGCATTCCAAATGAGGTACTATGTTGGTGGAGATGTACACAAGGATACACCAATCCTGATAACAGGCTGGGCAAAATGATCCTTCCCCTCAGGTAGAATTCAGGGGTGCTCTGGACTTCCCCTATGCTGTCTCTGCCCCACAGAAACCTTTCCCTGCACTGCATCTATCTCTCTCTAGCAAGCTTGTATCTTTTCCTACCTGTGTACTCCTCACACTGAAAGGCACCTAAACGACCTAGCAGGAGATATAAATAGCCTCTCTGAGTCCAGGATGGTTGCCCAAATCTCTGGAGAGCTCTGTGTTCAATCAGACACTGGCTCCCCAAGATGGCTACCTGAAGCCCAGTGCAGAGGACAAGTCAGTCCTCTGCAAGGTTCCCGAAACACCAGAGTTAAGTAGTTAAGCAGTAATCTTGTGAACTTGTATTGAAGTCATGGCCCAAACATACAAACAGCCCAGCGGGAGGACACCTATCTGGGAACACTCACAGTTCTGGTCAGTAATGCAGAGTGGAGCAGGTCCTGTTGTGCAGACAGCATCTGTCTCTGAGGGTGGAATGTGTGGCCTGGCTGGTCTGTGTCCAATTAGGAGTATTTGTGGAAAGGATAGCATGCCCCTATTCTGTCCCCACTCATCCAGAACCTTTCCCTACCATTATTCACTTTCCTTGACAGATGGCTAACCTGTCTCTGCACTGTTAACTCACAAAATGCACATCAAAACCGGGAGTCAGGGTCTTAAATAGACTCTACCTGACCCAAGGTGGCCACCAGAGTCACATGGACACAGCATCCAACTGGATCGCTTCCCCAGTGACCCAGGAAACCATAGAGGAACAGGTTCCTCCTGCCTTCCTGTCCTCTTGCAATGCTGCTCTGGTTAAGCAACATCTGCAGTGGAAAAAGGAGACTGCACCTGCCTACACTTATTATTATTATTATACAGGATTTATATAGCGCCAACAGTTTGCTCAGCACTGTAAATTATAATGGGAGACAGTACAAGAGACAGTACAGTAACAATACAATACAATACACGAGGGGTTCAAGGGCCCTGCTCCTTGGAGCTTACAATCTAGGATATAATCAAAAACCATAGTCTTCTTCTAAATACATACACGCATATTGGTACGTTTCATTACATAAAGTTGTTCTTTTTCACTTGTGTACCTAAAAAAATAATAGAAAGATTATATATTCCCTTTGAAGTTAAGGCGGCCATAGGTTTTCGATTTTCTTGCCGAATTATCGGCCGATATTTGTACCGTTAGTGGGGAAAAATGTTGGCTGTTTTTCCTAATTTTAGGAGATTTTGAAAATCGTCCAAGGTGGAAATTCCTGGGACGATTTGTTAGATTTATTTAAAAAAATAAAACGGCCAATTGTCCCCATATCTATGGCCTGCTTTAGTTGTGCATCAATGTTTATTCTGCTCTCCTAGAAAATATCTGTCAGGAGACAGGTATTCTGGAGTCATCAGTCACTGGAAGGAGTGGTGGCAGACCGTAATTGTTTACTTTCTCTTTGTCCATAGGGTGTTAACTCTGTAACAGTCATTGGAGTTACAATAAAGGTGCGCAGTTATTCAAGGCATTGTCTCTAATAACAACACACACCCTCTTAATGTCAGTAGGTATCAGCTCTGCCTGTCTGTCAGTAAAGAACTTATGCAGATGGGTTAAGAGCTTTATAATGGCAGCTACATAAGTATAGATGTGAAAATGTGCTTTTATAGGTATCCAGTTAGGAAGAATGACTGGATTGGCAGGTATGCATTTGTACCTTGCAAGTTTAGACAGAATGGTATCAATGGCTTTTGTAGACTTACAGTCAACCTCACAGTCATGATTTCTAAATACCTAAGACAATTTTAGTCAAAAATTGTCAACTTTTGACTGAAGGAATGTAATTTTGGCTTCTAGCACTTTCGATTTTCCAAAGAAACATGGGATGGATAAGTAGGATAAAACCTGTCCTGCATGTTTAGCCCTGAAGCATCCACCTTTGAAAGATAGATGTACATTTGGCCAAACTGCCAAGAGACATCAGTGTTACTACCCTACAATGGTCTTATCATGCTTTAACATCCTGGGTATGTAGTGGGTCTAACCATAAGAAATTATGGTGATCTTTATTTTCATCCTGATGTGTGCCGAGGATGGCTATAATCTCTATTATAAAGACAAACCTAATGCATGGGTCAAATTTCAAAGGATGCTGAAAAGTAGTGGAAAACAATAATACTGTATCAACGTGGGACAGACTGAGAAGTGCAAACTTGACATTGTGCAACTCACACGTGTGTTACATATATATTGAACCAACTAAGTTATTGTTCAATTAGGCTTTGGCAATAAAACACGGAAGCTGATTGGCTTCTATGCAGAAGTGCACCTGATTTTCCATTCTATATCTTTAGTAAATAAACCCCATTTAGTCCACAAAAATGCTGTTTTCTTTGAGCCCAAAAAACAAAGAAGCTTAGGGCTTTTTGCTGATTTACAAACTGTCTGTAAATGTCTGTTATGGACAGCAGCCACCAGTAAAAAACATGGTTGTGGGCTGGCTTCGGAACTGCGCTAGCCGGCCAGGCTTGGCCGTGCTCGAGCCAGCTCAACTAGGCTTGGAGGGGGGAAGGAGTAGACATGCAGTGATGTCATGTGTTGGGAGTGCTGCTGGGACTGGAGAGGAGAGGACTGGTGGTGGAAGGGCCAGAAGGCAGACTTGGTGATGACTCAATAGACAGAGGAGGAGTGAACCACCCACAGCACTGCCTGACTGAGTTGCACCTGAAGCAGAATGAGCAAGCATTATGGAGGAGGTCAGTGTACCATTACTCCAGCCAGGCCACACAGTCCATAAGGGGGGGTCAGTAATGTAAGGGAAGAGTGAATACACTAAGGAAAAGGGGGCACTAATATAAAAATTCCCCCTATATCAGTGAACAACCCTTACCTTACTGTATTCAGTCTGCTGAAGATGGTCTGTGGTCACCAGTGCCCCCCATCCCCTCACATCAGAATTGCTGGTATTCCCCTTAAAGCAGTGTCCTTAGAGTTCCCCTTTACATCAGCATCTGTAGGTTTCCCCCTTACAGTGCAAGGGGGAACTCTGCAAACCCTGATGTAATAGGGGGGCTCTGGTGACCAAAGACCACCTTACATCAGAGTTCCCCTTTACATCAGAGTCTGCATCATTCTCCCCTACATCATAGTCCACAGCATTCCCCTTAACATCAGGATCCACAGAGTTCCCCCCCCTTGCACTGTAAGGGGGAATCTTGCAGACTCTAATGTAAGAGGCAATCTGTGTAAGCTTGTGTAAGGAAGGGAGGGAGCTTTGGTGACCAGAGACTCCCTTACATCAGAGTTTCCCTTTACATCATGGACAGTTTGCAGCGTTCCTCTTTATATCAGGGTCCACAGTGTTCCCCCTTACATCAGGGTATGTAGAGTTCCCCCTTACACTGTAAGGGGGAACCCTGTGGACTTTGATGTAAAGGGTAACTCTGTGGACTCTGATGTAAGGGAAAAATCTGTGGACTGTAATGCAAATGGGAGCTCTGTGAACTCTTTTATGTGTGTAAGGGGGGGGGGGGGGGCTCTGGGTGACCAGAGACCCCCTTACATGACAGCTTCCTTTTACACCAGAGTCTGCAGCATTCCCCCTTACCACAGGTTTTTCTTTAACATCACAGTCTACAGTCTTCACTTTTGCATCCATAGAGTTCCACCTTGGTCTTTAAACGTAATAAATGAGGTAAAGCTTCACTTTACAGAGAATACCCAATCACATGCAAGAATATAAAAGAACAGCAGTTTTAATCTTTGAGGACATGAGATATCAGTTTCCAGATTCAACTGTTTTAGTAAATATTTGCAAAGCTTAAGGCTTGGTTCACAACTGTGCGGGTGGTGCTGCTGCGGGACCCACACAAAAGTACCTGCAGCCACACCACAAGCACAGAGGAATGCGGGACCCGCAGGCAGGTTCCATTAATTCTAATGGCACGCTGCCCGCACTGGAAATTGCAACCGTACTGGGAACCTCGTTTCCTGAAGAAGTGCAGGGACTTCTTCCCTGCGTGCCCGGGGTCCATTCAAATGAATGGGCTCTTGTGCCCATTCAAAACGCGACTCACACAGCCGCACATATGTGAATCTAGCCTTACACAAGCATACGGATCTTTATTTTTAGCCACATAACTGTCATTTTTAAATATTATTGGATTCAGCTGAAAATAACTGACTTCTTTGACAATAAGGATCCATGTCCTGGTGTTTTAACTGTGTGAATTAAGCCTATGGCCAAATAAGACCACTGGGAAAGATGATTGATCTTTGTTTAATTGCTAGTGTTTTCCTTGACATACCTGGGCACCAGTGGTGTCTGTGGGAACCTCTATTCTCCATAATCATAAATATTGGCCAAGGCTAGCCTACAGAGTTATGCAAGCATCTAGGCAGTTGGATTGTGGGATTCTGATGTCTACATCCAATTTTATACATACACTATATTGCCAAAAGTATTGGGACACCCCTCCAAATCATTGGATTCAGGTGTTCCAATCACCTCCATGACCCCAGGTGTAAAATCAAGCACCTAGGCATGCAGAATGCTTCTACAAACATTTGCAAAAGAATGGGTCGCTCTCAGGAGCTCAGTGAATTCAAACATGGTACTGTGATAGGTACCTGTGCAATAAGTCCATCCGTGACATTTCCTTGCTACTAAACATTCCACGGTCAACTGTTAGTGGTATTATAACAAAGTGGAAGCAACTGGGAACAACAGCAACTCAGCCACAAAGTGGAAAGGCCACGTAAATGACAGTGCGGGGTCAGCACATGCTGAAGAGCACAGTGCGCAGATGTCACCAACTGTTTGCAGAGTCAATAGTTAAAGACCTCCAAACCTCATGTGGCCTTCACATTAGCAGTTCATAATGTACGTAGAGAACTTCATGGAATGGGTTTCCATGGCCGAGCAGCTGTATCCAAGCCTCACATCACCAAGTGCAATCCAAAGCGTTGGAAACAGTAGTGTAAAGCACGCCGCCACTGGACTCTAGAGCAGTGGAAACATGTTCACTTGAGTGATGAATCATGCTTCTCTGGCAATCTGGTATGGCAATCTTATGGATGTGTCTGGGTTTGGCTGTTGCCAGGAGAACGGTACTTGCCTGACTGCATTGTGCCAAGTGTAAAGTTTGGTGGAGGGGGGATTATGGTGTGGGGTTGTTTTTCAGGGGTTGGGCTTGGCCCCTTAGTTCAGTGAAGGGAACTCTTAACTCAGCATACCAAGACATTTTGGAAAATGTAATGCTCCCAATTTTGTGGGAACAGTTTAGGGATGGCCCCTTCCTGTTCCAGCATGACTGCACACCAGTGCACAAAGCAAGGTCCATAAAGACATGGATGAGCGAGTTTGGGTTGGAAGAACTTGACTGGCCTGCACAGAGTCCTGACCTCAACCCAATGCACAGAGTCCTTTGGGACCTCAACCAAGACTGAAGCCACCTTCTCGTCTGACATCAGTGCCTGACCTCACAAATGGGCTTCTGGAAGAATGGTCAAACATTCCCATAGACACCCTCCTAAACCTTGTGGACAGCCTTCCCAGAAGAGTTGAAGCTGTTATAGCTGCAAAGGGTGGGCCAACTCAATATTGAACCATACGGACTAAGACTGGGATGCCATTAAAGTTCATGTGCTTTTAAAGGCAGGCGTCCCAATACTTTTGGTAATATAGTGAAAATTCCACATTGTTTTGAAACAAGGACAATATAATTTACCGATTCTGTAATAAAGGTGGAACTTTTTTTTTTGGTCATGTTATTTGGTGAAACAGGGAAAAAACAATATATATTCCCTCTTTCTGTTCGTCTAAAAATGATTTAATAAGAGCCTACTGAAACAGAAACGGAAAAAGAAAAAAATTCTAATATGTAGTTGTTGCTGCAAACTGATCTGCCTCCAGTGCGATAACTATCTCTTGTCTTACGTCTTCATTAAAAGTTTTTCACTTGCTGACCTCTGCTGGCTGAACTCCTACACTCCAGTTCCCATCAGCTGAAAAAGTTAAAAACAGTAACAGTAACTGTAAAATAAATTTAACGCTGAACTCAAGTTCCTGCCTTTTATACTGTTACAGTTCTAAATGCATTAAATGTTACTTTATACTGCACATCCTCCCTGTGGAAATAAAACAATCACCAACCACCTACCCAACTGACCGGCCAGATCAATGCATATAACCTGTCAAAACCAATCATGCCATTCAATTCAATAGGACTGTGCTGCAACCGCATGCACTCATTTAGCTCTTGGATGCGGTGCATTATTCCCATTGTAAAATTGGTGTTCTACAAATAAAAATAAAATTTGGAGAAGTGAGTGTAACATCACCTGACCCCTCTTCTCCCCAGAATGCATGGACAAACACCAGGTTCACTATGGCCACTTGGGGCCAGTGCTGTCACAAGGTCCTTTAGCACCCAAGGCAAAAAGGCCAAAGTGCCTCCTTCCCATCATGAGCTGCGATGCAGCAAAGATTGCAGGTCTTTCCCTTTTTGTGCCCACAGGACCCAAGGCAGAGCTGCCTCTTTTGCTTACCCTTCAGCCCAGCCCTGCTTTGGGCAGAGGCCATGCCATTCACTGATACTGGTGACTTTGCAGAAAAGTAATTATAGGCACTAAAAAGTGCTACCTCTTGAATGCTCTTTTTTATTTCATTTTTATTAGCAGAACACCATTTTTACAATGGGAGTAATGCACGGAACTATTGAATTTAATGGCTAGCTTTGACAGGTTTTATGCATTAAATATGTTGCAGTTGCAACCCAAAACATCAAGGCTCTGGCATATGAATAGCCCCCTCCAGCTGTATTATTGGCTTTAGGTGGGCGGTCGGGATGTTGTAAGACCACAGTTTAACCACCTATTTTTACTGCCCCCTGGCTGCCCAGAATTGTGGTAAGATCATTAAAGCCTCATTCACACCATGTGCAGAGAAGTGAGTTTTTCTGCACACATTCTGCACGGGTACAAAGAATACAATTGTTCTCAATGTGTCCTGTTCACACCAAAACACCGGTATCACCTGCAGATATTTTTCTGAGCAGGAATCTGCAGCATAAATGCAATTTTATGCGCAGAGAAAAACTGATGTGACATCAACATTGATGTAAACGGGGCAGAAGAGAAAGTGATGATACAAGGTGTGATGTCTATCTGTGCATTAAAAAAAAAAACACATTAAACCTGATGTCCACATGTATAAAAACTCAGTGAAACACGCTATAAACTGGTGTAAAACTGATGTAAACTTGTGTCTCTGCAAGTGAAATCTGTCTGTGTGTTTTTATGTACGCATGGTGTGAACTGGGCCTTAAAGAGGAACTAAAACCTTCTTTCTTTTCCAGCCATGGAAGCTGTTATCTTAGTCTCTGTTTGATCTGCAATTACCATCTCTGTACATGTGATCAGTTATGACCTCAGCCATTTGATGGTTTGACAGTTTGGCTGAGCGGACAAGAAAACGTGACAGTCAAGCTCCATGCACACGGGGCGTTTTGATAATGCTGGTAACGTTAGCTGTGTAAAGTCACGTTAAAAAGCTTTTTTTTTAGCATTTTTGCAGTGGCATTTAGCAGTGCTTTTCTGCAATTACCAGCATTTTCCTGCAGTTGCGTTTTTTTAGCATTTTTTTACCAAACAAAAATAAGGTCCAAAAATGCAGATTTGCGTCATTTTACAGCGTTTTGCAGTGTTAGAGCATTTTACATCCAAAAAACTCCTCTAGAAACCCACAATTCCTGGGGCTTTTTCCAGCCAAAAAAATCCCAGCCACAAAACACTAATTACAGCTATGTGTGAATGGACACATAGGATAACATGCTGGGGGTTTACTGACTGTAGAAAAAAACATCAAAAGACAAAAACAGCCGCTGTAAACACGTCAAGTGTGCATGAGAGCTTACATTCTCTCCACGTGCCAGCAATGTAACTGTTTTTTTTGAAACTTTTAAATTAATTGGTTTAGTTCCGCTTTAAAAGCAGATTTCTGTTATTCAAACGGGTAGTATGATCAACTGAATGTATTGTTTTCTAAAATAAATACATAATAACTAAAGTGTTTTTTTAATATTTGCCTGGATTGCTACTTTAACTACCAGTCTGTCTCAACACAGTAAAGACTCTTTTAGAAATTTGATTGGGAAATGATAAAAATGCACTAATGGGGGGGGGGGGGGGGAGCATTAAAATGCATGGCTAATCCACATTTTTAGCACCCCCCCTCAACTGCTCCTCCTAAACTGCAAAAGTATCAAATGTTTACATGCTTTGCTTCACGCCTGCTCAAAAACTATCACTGCTGTCATGTTCAGAGGGCAGTGCAACGCACACAGTTGCGGCTTGTCGGTGTGGCACTTGCAGAAGCAGGTATCAGGGCAACGTTTCACCATCTGTCAAACCTTTCTGAAAAGTGATCCAAACACAGGTCGCGTTTCAGAGTAATGGCGGTTTAGACGCAAGTTCTTAATGGGAGGTGTAGACCTTGACAATCTTGTGAAAGTTAAAGGGTCATGCCCCAAAAAAACATGGAGCTATCAGCAGCATCTGAACTGTGGGACAAGTGGACATGTCTGGTGTTTCCAGTGAAGGACATAAAAGAGGTAACTAAATACAACCGAATGCTGCCGGTAACAAAGTTTTGGAGTTCTTTAAATCACCCACTTTAGCAGAAAATAATGTATTTTACATGACCCTCCATCTTCCACAGCCAATACAAGAGGCTTTCACCCAGGGGCGGACTGACAACTCATGGGGCCCCGGGCAATAGGGGATCATGGGGCCCCTGTGTCCTTGCCCACACTCAAAAAAGCCTATAAAAAAGGTACCAGGGGCATCTCATGGGGCCCCCTACTGACAGTGCCCGAGTACTCGATTGGTCAGTCTGCACCTGCTTTCACCCAACTTGATGAATTAAATTTTTTTTACATTTTGGATACCCAGTATGGAGGGGGGATATAGACCAACAGAAGAGAGTGAGACCCCTTGGTGAGAGCGAGGGAAGAACCAAACTCCAGTAGTGAGATCTCTTCACTAGAATACCTGGGAAGAAAAAGAACTTGGTGGGTGATCCAGGCCACCAGATTCCACCCAAAACTAGCTGATCTTTTCAGGGTAGACATGAAGAGCAAGTAACTTTAGTGATAGCATTGCAGCCTAGTTTAGAAGTGTTTCAGCAACGGAATGGTTAAAATTCATGTGACACATGTGAGTAAAATCCTGGTTCCATCTGATGAGGTCACAAGGAACGGTTCCCATGGAGATGAAGAACAGCACTGATGCAATATGGAGGGGGTGGATATTGAGTAGGAGGAATAGAACACCATTAACTTTAGTCGTTATGTAGGAGTACGGTAACCTCCCACATCTGTCAGTGAAACAAGCTCTCCCATCCGTTCTGCAAAATCACACTTACCACTAGCTAGAACGTCCCAACAAATATGGAGCCCAGAGCTATAAAGTAGAAGTTTACCTTTGCACTTCATAGATCATAGGTCCATGTTTTATGTATGTATGCCTTTCATTTACATACATTCTCATATGTCATCATTTATACATATGCTCTCCAGGAACTTACAGTCCTCTTGGAATCAGTTGTCCTGTAGTCAATAGCTAGGCTCAGAGTTTAACACACACAAAATAGCACCTCAACAAAAATCATGTTGTCTAGGTAATGTACGCATCTCAGTATAAAATCACAAATATTCCTGCAGTCAGTGTATAAACAAAATAAATCAATAAAATACAACAGCAGCCAAATATCAGAATACCAGGTATAAAATGTGTTTCTCAGAAATAGATGCGCTGTCGCTTTAAAAATATCCAGAAAACCAGAATCAGTGTAAAAAATAAAAACGCTGTCACCTTAAGGTATCATAACAAACAATATCATGAAATCAATGTGCAGTAATATACACAAACAATAATAAAGAGTCCACCAAGTACAAAATTCAGTCCCAGTATAAATGATCACAAGCTATAAAGATGATCATAAGTAGACAGGTACTGTTTAAGTGTCCACACCACCAGTTATCACACACTCCTTACCGGATAAATGTGATCTCAGACAAACGAGATTGACACACCGCTGCAATTTGACTGCACTACAGCATATAAAATACTGTATGCACTTGGTACCTTTTTTTTAATGATTTATAGATTATACACAAGGGGGCGCTATTTTTTTCATGCTCTGATATGGTATTTATGCCCTTTCTGTTTTTGTTATACAGTATGTATTGCCGTTTGTTGTCTCTTAATTGTGGTTGCTTGTAGGATTTTCCCGCTTCCTGTGACTATAAATATCTGCAGCGTGGTATCGCCTTCCGGCCACTCCCCCTGATGATGTCTGCTATGATGAAACATAGCCAGAGTAAGCGACGTCACCATGCACACCAGAATCACAAGCAGCTTCACAGAAGGAAACTGATTGGATTGTAGTTATGTTGTGTTACATACAGTAGCTCCCTTGCACATCTGTTTTATGATCTTGATAAATCTGGGAATTGGCTTTACTACATTATGCAAGTCTTTTCCATTTATATGTCATCTGTCTGCCTGGGCGGGAGATTTTTTGCTGCTACATGTCCTCAGGTGGTCAGCATCATACAACCTACTTCCTCTAAGCCAGGGGTCTCCAAACTATGGCCCTCCAGGTGTTGAGGAGCTGCAAGTCCCATGAGGCCTTGCAAGACTCTGACAGCCACAGGCAAGACTCCCAGAGGCAGAGGCATGATGGATCTTGTAGTACTTCAACAGCTGGAGGGCCATAGTTTGCAGACCCCTGCTCTAAGCTCATGTTGTCCTGGACCAGCCTTAGTCTGTGAGTGGACAGTGAAAAGAGAAGTAGACTAGTGATGAGCTCATGTGTCTTTCACTCTGCTTTCTCCTCCTATCAGCATGCTCCTTGTCCTAACATGAACTGATTTGCTGCTTGTACTGCTTCTCGCCCCTGCCCCTTAATGCCTAAGCAAATAAGATAATGCAGACTGATGGGTCTTTGACAATTACTGTGTAGTCCTTTGGAGCCCCTACAGACAGCAGACTGTGTTTCAGCGCTTACCTAAAGTAGACTTAAAGTCAAAACACTTTTGCAAGCGTTGGTTCGGCATTTTCGGAGCATTTTTAATGCTCCACAATCGCTCCAAAAACGCTGCATGCGTGGTTTAGTGGCGGTTGCTAGGCATTTGCCAAGTGTTAAAAATGCCCCACAAACGTCTATAATGAAGTTTGAATGGTGTTAACCGCACCGCAAACGCCAGCCGGGCGTTTGCGGAGCAGCACCATAGACTTGAATAGGAGGCTTCAACACCTCCTGACTCGACCAAAGGCGTCCGTTTTGCCGCAATGCAACGCTAATGCTCTCGTTTGAACAGCACAATTTTCTGAGGCGTTTGGGAAACGATAAAAATGCTTCCAAAATGCCTGTCTGCCGCTTGCTAACAAGGCTAGTGTGAACGTAGCCTAAAGGAACTGTGATAGCCTGGATTTTTAGCAGTCCCATGTAAGCTTTCCCTAGTCTATGTTTTCAACAAATAGCACTATCCTTTCACAGAATAAAATCCCCACCAAGTTACCAACACAATCCTTCCCCTGAAGTACAAATAACATCAAAATATAGTAAACTTGATTACCCTCTAATCTAATATAAGTGTATAAACATAAAAGTGTATAAACATAAAAATCAAACCCCAAAAGAATATAAACAAAAAAGCAAAAAAAAACCACCCAAAAAAATGAAATATAAAATAAAAGCAAAAAAAAAAAGTCCAAAATAAAGTCCCAAATAGTTATATCAAAATCTTTATCTGTGATATCTTAATTCTTCATATCTTCCAAAATCTTTGTGATATACTTCCAACCAGATCTTCATATACCTCAAAGAAAAGAACTCAACATGTGTGATATCTTCAAAGAAAAAGGGGTATCTAGACAACCGTGCCACACGTGTTTCATGCACATAAAAAATAAACGTGCCACCACAACCGTGAAAAAGGAAAAATCCCTCAGCCTTAGGAGTCAATCCACTGCATACCACTAAAAGAAGGTCATAGTTACCTTCAGAATGGTATCAAGGGTCTGAGTATTTCTTTCCAACCTTTAAAATATTCCTTCAGCCTTTCCAGCCACTTCCCACAGACCTCATAAACAGACCATGGATCAGTATGTATCATAAAAACTTATAGCACTTTATTGTAGCAACTTACATTCAAATATAATGACATCAGCTTCAACATCACAAGCGATATGTTAACAGTCCTGCCTCTCCTCATAAGTGTATAGATTCCACACTATCTCCCTCCCGAGGGGGAACCGATTGCCTGTGGTGAGTCTCCAGTACCTCAAAGCCCCATGAGGATTCCAGGAAGCCACAACCGCATGTACCAGGATCAAAAATGTCCGTCACCGCACTTCCGGAAGAGCGTAGCTACGTCACCACATCACGTGCCCCGGACGCGTTTCGTCACATCCGGACTTTATCAACAGGGATCCCTGTTGATAAAGTCCGGATGTGACGAAACGCGTCCGGGGCACGTGATGTGGTGACGTAGCTACGCTCTTCCGGAAGTGCGGTGACGGACATTTTTGATCCTGGTACATGCGGTTGTGGCTTCCTGGAATCCTCATGGGGCTTTGAGGTACTGGAGACTCACCACAGGCAATCGGTTCCCCCTCGGGAGGGAGATAGTGTGGAATCTATACACTTATGAGGAGAGGCAGGACTGTGAACATATCGCTTGTGATGTTGAAGCTGATGTCATTATATTTGAATGTAAGTTGCTACAATAAAGTGCTATAAGTTTTTATGATACATACTGATCCATGGTCTGTTTATGAGATCTGTGGGAAGTGGCTGGAAAGGCTGAAGGAATATTTTAAAGGTTGGAAAGAAATACTCAGACCCTTGATACCATTCTGAGGGTAACTATGACCTTCCTTTAGTGGTATGCAGTGGATTGACTCCTAAGGCTGAGGGATTTTTCCTTTTTCACGGTTGTGGTGGCACGTTTATTTTTTATGTGCATGAAACACGTGTGGCACGGTTGTCTAGATACCCCTTTTTCTTTGAAGATATCACACATGTTGAGTTCTTTTCTTTGAGGTATATGAAGATCTGGTTGGAAGTATATCACAAAGATTTTGGAAGATATGAAGAATTAAGATATCACAGATAAAGATTTTGATATAACTATTTGGGACTTTATTTTGGACTTTTTTTTTGCTTTTATTTTATATTTCATTTTTTTGGGTGTTTTTTTTTTGCTTTTTTGTTTATATTCTTTTGGGGTTTGATTTTTTTATGTTTATACACTTTTATGTTTATACACTTATATTAGATTAGAGGGTAATCAAGTTTACTATATTTTGATGTTTCCCTAGTCTATGACTGCATGCTGCCTGTCTCCCAACAAATCCTATGGCACATTTTGTTAGTTTCTGACCATCTCCCATTGTATGTCTGTAGTGTCTGACAGCTTTCTGTAGCACTACATTCACTGAAACTTATGTGCAGCATTTTGGTGAAGTCAGGGGCCTCATTTAAAGGCATTGAATACTTTTAAATGTTTTTTTTGTTTTAACTAGGTATTAGTGTAGTTATGTTCCCTGAGTTGTTTGTTTGGTTGCCCTACCTTTGGGCCCACATGTTGTGACTGCAGTTTGTAGTGTCACAGCTGAACAATCCCCTATGTCCATATATTCATTTACCTAGCTTGTCCCTGTCCACTATACACAGGCAGGGACAGGCAACTTCTTATTCCAGGTCACATAGCTTCCAATGCATGTGTAGCGCTACCCTTGTGAGGGCCGCTGTGTAGTGGGTTTTCCTAAGTCTCTCTCCGCACAGCCAGGCAACAAGTATTTCTCACACGGACTTGCATCCAAAGATAATGACCAGTCCATGGGCTTGGTTTTGTTGTTTTATTAGTGGAAATCAACTTGGATAAGGAAATAGGAATTACGGGATTCCCAATTTGGCTTGAATCAATGGAAGGGGGACACTTCCCTCCTAAGTACAAATTAGATCTTGGACAGTTCTTTTTCTGAAAGCCATCAGTCATTGCAGATCAGTAGCAGCTGCCCTGTATGGATCGAGGAACTAGCAGCCCCTCAAAAATCAGCTTTACCTTTTGTAGCTACATGCAGAGATGTCTTCTCTCCCCCTGTAGAGCTGCTCCCAGCTCCACAGCCTGCAGACACTACCAGCCCTCCTGGCTTCTCAGAAGATCTCTCAGGACAAGGATAAAGGATTGAGCCCAGCGCTGTCCTTAGAAAGCTTGCTACGTGTGGCAGTCTTTCCCCTTGTAGAACCTAGAGTGTGCTCCTGTACTCACACTGTCCTCTGCTCCCTGCTGCTCAAGGTCTCAATCCCATTTGCGCTGAATGTATCCTCCTGACTCAGCCCGAGCACAGCCTGGAGGATGGTTTCCACCTAGACCTAGGGAACCCCTCCCAGGCACCGACAGTCTTCTCAGCACTCCATCTTCAACCCGACTCCTCTGTCAGCCTGACTCTCCCATATTTATGGGCCAGTCCATCATTCTACGAGGGCCTTCAAACCTGGGATTGGCCAGGCTCCCATGAACATGCAGATCAGGTCTTCACCAATTCCTGCTTACTAACTTCTGGAAGGTTATATGGTCCTCCAGAGTCAGGAGGAGGCGATAGAGACACAACCTGTTGAGTCATTCAGCTAACCTGCAATAAATTGACCCCCATCACATGACTCACACAACTACCATGAGTCATACACAATTATTTTACCTATAATATACTACACTATTCTATTAACTGCACCTGCACCAGTGCTAGACTAAAAGAATCAGGGATTGTGGGATATGTAGTTTCTTCAAAGGAAATGTCAGTTCTCAAACTACAGACAGAGGTCATGCATTAACATGTTTGAATATAAACTGAAACATCTGACACAAGAATGTGAAGATTTACTCTACTTTTGGCTGTGCATAAAAGGCAACAAAATGACACCATGAAACTACATGCTCAATGCACATGTTACGTAGGTGAAAATCACAAGGTGCAGGTAGGAAGGTTTATAATGTGTTTAAGGCCCCCTAGATAGGTTGACCACCACTGGTGTAGAATGTAGTAGATTATACTATAACAACTATAGCAACAATGCTCTGTACCTTAGTGCATTTGACCTTTAAAGTCAAAGATAAGGCTAGTACTAACCCTTCCTAAAGTGTTTCTAAACCCACAACAGTAAAATCAGTCTGTATGTGCAGTAAAGCATGCTTGGTATACTCACTGTGGAACCTAAGGGGTTAATCCTCTGCACTGTGTAAAAAGATGTTTGATCCTGACTTCTCTCATCTTCCCCTTCTTCCAGTGCCCCCCTCTTAACTCCTGATAAGACATATCATATGGAGTCACTCTTAACATGCTCAGTTTGGTGTGTATTGCTAGAGATTTTTTTTGTCTTGGGAGAGTGCATATGATCAGCACAGGGCCAATCATCACTGTCCAGACAGGGGTCAGTGGTTCTGCTTCCTCCTAGAGCAAAATTAAAACTCCTCCTACAAGCTTTAACATGTGCTCGGCTGGACACTGATAGAAGTCACAAGACTGCTCTAACTGCTGATGAGAAAAGGTATTTATCAGTTTATATTTACTAAAATAATTGTATTTCCATGTTCTGTGTACTGTGGGAGACCAGATATAGTGAATGCAGGGGCCTGGGTTTAGTAACACTTTAAAAATGTTCCCTCCCCCTCCTCCTACCTATCCTGCCTACTCTGTGTAGAAAAAAATCTGTGTAAATTACCTATTTGTAATCCAGTCCAGTCACATGAAGCAGCTGTGGCTTCCTGTGTCAGTGAGTGGCTGCTGCAGGGGAGAAGAGGAAGCGCTGACGACTGGGCCATGGGAGCCTAAGGGTGACATCACAGCTCCAGGAATTCACAGCCATTGTCAAGCACTCCCTTACACAGCAGAGCAGGAGCTGTCGCCTCAGCTAACCGGACCTGATTAAAAAAAGTTAGTGTGCATATTTATTTTATACAGGGTGTCCAGGATAGGTGGGGGGAGGAGGGGAACATTTTTAAGGACAGTTAGCTGTAGCCTTTACTAGCACTTTACTAGCAAAGAGAAAAATCCAACAGCAGTTAAGTAAATGTTATATAAATGAAAGTATTATGTATCATATGTATGTCACTTAGTTTTGTCTTTTTCTGTGTCATTGCTCTGAAAGGAGGAAAGGGGGATGATGAGGGATTAGATAGATTAATGAATGGTGTAGGAGAACAGGATTTGTAATGGATTGTAATGTAGGAGTATAAAAAAGTACATTTTTCATGAAATATAGACAGTGATGAGGGGGGTGGCTGGATAGATGATTGCATACAGGACTGTGCTCAGAAAATGCAAGCAAGCTGTGCCAATACTGTCCTAAATTGCAGCAATTCTACGAAGGGTTAAAACACCTTATCAGGTGTCAATAGAATCTTAAAGGATAAGTTCACCTTTGGGAACATGTTACATGTTCCACCCATGTTTAGGGTGGAACATGTAACATGTTCCCATAGCCGCAGCGGCAGCTGCCCGCCGCTCCTCTCCCTTTGACATAGTACGGGGAGAATGAAAACAGGGTCTGCGGCGCTACACCCACACGGTATCTTCATTCATTCACGGACTTCCGTGAATGGATGAACTGCAAGTCCCAACAGCCTTATCTGCTGTGGGCTTGTAGTTTTCAATGAACTACCATGGCACTGTGGAGCTTCCTGTCAGTATATCTGCTTGCTCATACATCCCGTATGGCAAGCAGATGTTCTGACAGGTCTGCAGGAGACCTGCATGGCACCAGCGATCTACTGATCGCTGGTGCAATGCTTTCCAGGCTCCTGTGGACAAAAATAATAAATGCACATTTTTTATCTGAAAAAAAATGTGCATTTATTTTTTTTTGTCTAAAAGGTGAATTTATCCTTTAGGGCTGCTTCACACCATAGAAACGCAGTCCAAATGCGTTCTGGATGTGTTTCCATATGTGTGTTTTTGGAGCATTCCGGTGCGTTTTTATGCGTTCTGGTGCGTTTTTTCTGATGCAATCTGGTTCATTTTTTTCTCCTTTTTGCCTAATTTAAATAGGGACATGTGCATTCCAGTGCGTTTTTTATGTGTTTTACAGGGGGGACAACTCATGGGGCCCCCGGGCAATAGGGGATCATGGGGCCCCTGTGTCCTTGCCCAAACTCAAAAAAGCCTATGAAAAAGGTACCAGGGGCATCTCATGGGGCCCCCTACTGACCCCGGGCCCTCGGGCAGTGCCCGAGTTTCCAAATGGTCAGTCCGCCCCTGGTTTTACCACGTTCCAGTACAGTTCTGTGCATGAAAAATGCAGCATGTTCTACTTTTTTTTATGCAATCGGAACGCACTGGAACTGCAAGTACTGATGTGAACTATGACATTGACAACCATATAACCTACTTTCTGTGCATTTTGGATGCAGAAAAAAGCAACTGAAACACGTAGTGTGAACTGACCCTTATCCAATTGCCCTCCTGAGGATTTAACCCCCTTCTTGACCAGGCCATCTTTTGCGTTACGGCGCTGTGTTACTCTGACAATTATGCGGTCATGCAACGCTGCACCAAAATTAAATTTATGCCTTTTTTTCCTACAAATTGAACTTTCTTTTGGTGGTATTTAATCGCCAATGCGGTTTTTAATTTTTTGCGCTGTATAAAAAAAAAAAAGACTGTAAATTTTGAGAAAAAAAACTATATTTTTGACTTTTTGCTATTAAACATGTCCAGTAAAAAAATTTTAAAAATCTAATTTTGTCATACATTTAGGCCAATATGCATTCTGCTACATGTCTTTGCTAAAAAAAAAATTAATTGGTTTACATGAAAGTTATAGCGTTTACAAATGGCGGTATATATACTGGGATTTTTTTTTATTTTTACTAGTAATGGCTGCAAACTTCTAGCGGGACTGCAGCAGACATTCTGACACTGGGGGGAAACTGACTTGGTGTCACTGACATCCCCAGTGACACCAATAGAGTGATCAGTGCTAAAAAAAAAGCACTGACACTGTACTAATGGCACTGGGCAGAAAGGGGTTAACATGGGGGGCGATCAAAGGGTTAACTGTGTGCAGGGAGTGGGGTGGTGTCTGTCTGCTTTGCTGTAAGCACACTGCTTTGGATGGCTGTGCTGTGCATAGCCATCCAAAGCAGTATGCCCGAGCTGACAGGGAGAACAGTTCTCCTCCCCATCAGAGATCCTCGGTAATCACTGGGGGCTGGCGAGTAATCACTGGCCAGGACTCGGTGATTGAGAGCGGCGGTCCCTGCCCAGAAATACAAAATCACGTATATATACGTGATTTTGCACACCCGTGCGGCCCTGTAGCAGTATTTCTTCTATAGGGCGGTCGGGAAGCAGTTAAAGTGAGCCAGTGGAGGCTGCCATTGCTAACTTGTTTTCTAAGGGTACATTCACACCTGCCTGTGATTATAAATGATATAGGCTGCCCTTGTTGGTCTCTGAAATGCTGGTTGCCTGGTTGTTATGCTGATGCAGTGACCTAAATACTTAATACTTTAAATTGCATTTAAACCTAAAATAAACTTCAAGTGGATCACATTCCAATCCATGATCCGTCCTCCACACCCCTTGAAGTGTTTTTATTTTTTTATATTTACATTTTTTTTAAATAAAATTCCTGTCCACTCCCCCCCTGCACATCATTCTCTCTTTGCCTCCTGGGATATGCACGTCACATATCCCAGGAGGCAAAGCTTTTCATTCACTAAAAGAGGAGGGGGCGGGCCTAGTGGAGGTGTGCCGACTGAACATGGAACAGCTGGAGGCCTATTGATGACGTTATAGGAAAACATGACAGCACGGGACCGAGTGCTGCCAGAAGAGAAGAGAATCTCAGCTGGATAACACTGGATCTGCTGGGTGGGTATCTCAAATGTGTAGAACTTGCCACTAGGTAAGTAGAGGTTAAAAAAAGGGGGGTGAAAAATCCTCTTTAAGGCCTCATTCACACCATACGTGCAGAAAGACTGATGGAAACTGATGTGCAGATTTCACTTGTAGAGACATCAGTTTTCATGCGCGCTGCAATGAACCATTGGAATACATGGAAAACACTGGAAAAAGCGATTTTTCTTCCTGTAACAACAGGTTGCAGGAAAGAAAATCACTTGACTGACTGACTATGTTGATGGGAAAAATCCTCCCCCGGAACTATTGTGTTCTATAATAGCTGCTAAAAATTGTAGCACCCTCTTAGTTAACTAGGGGGAGCTAGAATCTAATTGTTAAAGAGGAGGGTTGAGTAGCAGCCTGGGTGTAATAGACAGAAGGTCAAATTGTGGTCAGGAGCTGTGAGGCTCTGCAAGCCAGCCCTTCTGGAATTTACCCCTGCTCTAGAGCTTTGGAGGAAGGCCTAGAGGCAGTGGGTAGTTCTGAGGAGTGGCTGTCTTGCACTCTTGAGGGTTCCTGACCAATCCCCAACAGGAGGCTTGGAAAGGGGCCAGGATACCCTAAAAGTGCTGGAGCCTGCTCCGGGGCAGGAGAGTTTGGGTTGAAGACAGTGAGGAAGATATGAGGCTGAAGGAAGGAGGCTGCTAGGAGGCCCAGTGGGATAGGGCCTACATGCGGGCCTTGAGCTGGCAAAGAAGAAAGCTCAGAGTTTCACCGGCTGTTAGAGCGAGTACCACCTGTAAGGCAGGTAAGGAGCAGCCCAGTTGATAGGCCTGGTAGCAGCCACCAACCAGGAGAGAATCTGAGTGAGTAAACCTACACCCCCTGGGCGAATAGGGAAAGGAGCACTCTGGTGGGAAACCAGATTCGCCACCTGCCAGTGACTGTCCATCTCTTAAAGTGACAGGAACCGGATCCCCTGTTCAGGGATACCTCCAGATTGTTGGGTGAAGGCAGAGGAGTTCATCTAGGGTGGTACATTAGGAGATGCCAGCTAGCTCTCCAACAGACACTGTGTTGCAGTGAAGGCTTGTAAATAGTTCCAAGAAGTTGTCCTCAGTTCATCAGTTCCCTTGGGCATCCTGTACACCCCTAACCCTATCCCAGTTCAAATCCCCTAAATAAAAAAACAAAACTAAAGCTCAAGGACTGATTTCTGACTCTGGATGCAAGTCTCTTTGAAGATGCGTGTTGCCTGGCTATGCAGGACTATAGGGGGACCCAAATCTATAGTGACTCCTAAGAGGGTAATGCTACACAATAATAGCATGTAAAACCCAACAGGCTGGTTGTACCCAAATTGATCGATCAATCAACTTGGGTACATTCAGCCTGCCCATACATGGTTTGAATCTTGGCTGGTCCCTGCTGAACCAGACTTGATTCGAACCGTCTATGTCCGGCTTAAGATTTCTGATATTTCGTTGTAAGCTCATTTAGTGGTAGAAAAGGATGTGAATGATTATGAAAGCACAACATTTGAAATAA